GCTTCTTCCTGTATCACCCTTACCAGCCTTATTCACAACAATACTGAGCAAGTATAACAAATACTGATGAATAAATGGAAGTATAATAAAATAAATGTTAAAATAAAATGAAGTAATATATAATTAGTATGATGAATAAATGAGAATAAGACTAATCTAGTACCTGTACCCTTCTTGGTCTCCCACACAGGTATTAAACAACTATTTATCCTGAGAAGAGATGCTGATTTTTGTGTCCTTAAAATGGTTTTATAATATTAAGATATAAGAAACAACGAAACAAAAAGCAGGTGTTTAATGCCAATAATGCTGCAATATCCAGGGCACATCAAATTGAGGCTGTCAGTGGGTAAACCCTGCAAGAAAATATACATCACCAGGCCTATACTGTCAACCAACCAAGAATTTAGCTTGGATAGTTTTTAAGGGAGAGGTTTGGCTATCACTTGATCTAAACTTGTTCTTTCCACCATCAATGTCTCTTCTGCCTCTAATATTGACTGTACCCAGTAGCTGCAACTTCATATCGCTGAGTTGCCGTTATTTCTGAATCACTTCTGTTGGGAACATCTCTATGTCCAATCCTTAAAGACCCGAAGGCATCTCGAAAATTTTGTGAACCAAAACAGTACAACAGAGGATCCAGACAGCTGTTCACTCCAGCTAAAATCCAGGATGCATAATATGCTGACTCAATCTGCAATAGAACATGGCATTTCTGGGGGTAGTATTTTTTAAACACAACTCCCACAGTTCGTACCACATTCAAAGGCAAAAAACACAGCCCGAATATCACCAGGCACATACCTATCATCCGCTGAGATTTCATCTTGACCTTCAGGCCTTTAGCTGTGCTGATGTTGAGATGAGTTAACGTGTTTGCCAGACGACCATAGCAGACAGCAGACACAAAGAAAGGGAGTAGGAATCCAAAGATAAACAGAAAGAAGTTAATGACAAAGTAGGTGTCTGTCAGGTTCTTCTGGTGAATGGAGAGGCATTGGCTGTTTCCCCTCTCTTTACTGGGAGGAAGTACAAAAGCATAAATTACAGCCTGGATCAGTAGCATAGACCAAACGCCTGCACACAGCTTCTTGATAAACTGCTTCCTTTTCATACAGGAGCTTCTGTTGAAGTGCACCACAGCCATGTACCGATGGATGCTGATGAGAGTGAGGAATATGGTACTGCCATAGAAATGTGAACTAAGCAGGGTGATCTTGACTTGACACAGAAACTGGCCAAAGGGCCAGTCATTGCCCATAGCAAAGTACACTGCCATCAAAGGAGTGACTGGGGTAGCGATGGCATCGCTGAGACCCAGGTGGAATTGCAGTATTGTTCCAGAGGTCCAGCGGGGCAACCGGCAGCAGAACACCCAAAGGCTGAAGATGTTGAGGAGGAAGCCCAGGAAGAAGACCAGACACAGGAGGATGGTGATGGATACATGCTGGTTCTCCCCAAGGCAAGCTCCAGAATTGTTGCTGCTGTTACCAAGCTGTGAGGACACCACCAGAGGATCCATGTTCTCAAAAACCTTCTTGTTTCTTACACCTGTGGGAAAAGAAAAGAATGGTGCACTTCAATATCAAGTATATTACAGAAATACAAATGTAAAAGTAAAAATAAATAACAGAACATTTTATTTTAAATTAATTGCAGTTTTTTTGATTCATTGTGTCAAGATAGGAAAAATGACAACAGTGGCGTGTGAATTGGGTAAAAATAAGTAATTGATCTATAAATGGTGACACGTGTGAGTATTATGGCTGTTAAGCTGAAGTAAAGAGGACAGTCTTAGTAAAAGTGTTTGATACATGCAGCAGGCACCATGGCCTCAGACTTAAATGTGCTAACTCTCATCCCTGCCACTTCACAATCGGCTGCAAACTGCCCCAGTGCATGCCGGAGGTCACGGCCTGATGAAACCAACAAAACCACATCATCAGCAATTGATAAACTAACTGGGAACATGTTCGACTTTTTGCCAAGTATGCATACACAACTCTCACTCTAGTTATATAAGTAACAAGTGGCTCGCACCAACAGCCCCGGTGCCCCGTACTCCCAAAGTACCACCCATAAGATCCCACAAGGGAGCAAACTCCCAGGATCCTTCCAGTAACCTTGTAAGAGTAAAGAATTCCACGACCTGGATGGAATCCACATTGTTCTTCCTGAATCCGAGGTTTGACAATTGGTCAGAACCTACTGGCATCCCTGGAAAAGATGTCATCTTGAAGACAGCATATGTCTCCAAAATCTCTCTGTATTTTTCAGCATTAATGGAGCCAGTATAGAAGTGGATGTTACCTTTTCCAAGGCACTGACACAACCCCAGACCATGACAGACCCTGGCTTTTGGACTTGTTGCTGGTAACAGTCTGGATGGTCCTTTTTATCTTTGGTCTGGAGCACATGGTGTCCATTCCTTCCAAAAAAGACATGAAATATCGATTCGTCTGATCACAGTACACATTTCCTCTGTGTGATGATCCATCCCAGATGCCTCTGAGCCCAGATCAGTCGACTGCGCTTCTGAGCACTGTTAACACAGGGCTTCCTTTTGCCACAGTACAGTTTTAAGCAGCATTTAAGGATGTAACTATGTAATGTAGTGCCTGACACAGGTGTGCCAAAGTAATCCTGAGCCAATGTGGTTGTATCACTCATAGAAGCATGACACCCAGACTCCATCACATCACCAGAAGTGCAGCACAGGTCAGCCACACCTTCATCAGTGGTGGAGGGGGGTCATGTAGGCAGCACATTACAAGGAATGATGTAAATTACACTACTAAAATGTGTTTGACTGGGGATTGTTTTTGGAAGGTCTTCTGGGAATAAACAAATATTGCAAATTAATAAATACATATGTCACCACTTTCCATACAACACATCACACAAAGGCTACATACAAGGTCCTTTAAAAAGCCATGCACAACGTTTTAAATAGTGAAACTTATCATTACTAATAATGCCTTTGAATAGGACACAGAACGGGCCATCTGTCATCACTAGTGAACTGAATAGTAAAGATTAATACTTGTCAATAGCATTAATTCGCATGAGGATTAAGGTATATGGCTCAGTTTCCCACATATACACACACTCATCACTTCTCCAAAGTGAGGTTTCCTGACATTTTCAAATGACTGTGGTAAGACTATATGGCAACCCAATTAACCTTAAAATACTTCACTTCAGTAAATAAAAGTACCCTGAGCATTTGAAATTATTACCAGTGTTATAAAGTAGGCCTATTTGTTTTTAATGATGGTGGCCTATTGCATATTGCTCTAATATTTCCCAAAGATGTTAAGCTGGGTTGAGATCTGGTGACTCTGAAGGCCTATATGGAAGCATCTGTGTTGCTTACATTTCTCCAGACACAACATATTCTACACCTTTTAATGCACAAGACACATCAAAATGACCCATATTTATTTTCAGTATTATTTTATCCATAATTGAATGTTTCATTGCAATATCTTTAAAGCAAACATATGTCATTACCTAGGACTTTAAGAAACAAGCTGTTACTTTCTTTGTTTTTTATTGCAAGTTGTTATTTTTTATTTTGGCATGATTTCCAACAGCCATGACAGCACTGTTCCAAAGTATTGTACTGTTTACTGCACCACATGTATTTGATAATTTGTCACTTTTCAAAATCTGATGAATAAACCTGAATACAGTATAATCAGACACCACTGATCCCTGATGGGACATTTACAACCTACCCAGCACTATGTACTGTACAGTAAAGTACTTCAAGTACATCTTTACCAGCTGCAACATTCAAGTGATGAACACAGTAATTCATCAATAATTATAATCCAATCATCTGATATAAATTATTATAAAATGTGCCAATATGAATAAACTTTTGGTACTTTCATTTGATGCTGATATACTTTTGTACTTTTATTTAAAGACATAAAGGCCTGGATGACCTGTAATTACTTCTAAAGTCCAACAAAATTGAAGTCATTGTACTTGGGCTTGAAAACCTTAGAAATCTGTCTAATCATATAGTTACATTAGATGACATAGCTATTGCCTCCAGTACTACTGTGAGGAACCTTGGAGTCATTTTTGACCAGAATATGTCCTTTAAATCACACATAAATCAAGTCTCTAGAACTGCCTTCCTTCACCTGTGCAATATTGCAAAAATCAGGAGCATCCTGTCTCAAAGTGATGCTGAAAAACTGGTCCATGCATTTGTTACCTCCAGGCTGGACTACTGTAACTCTTTACTATCAGGATGTCCCAATAATTCCCTAAAAAGCCTCCAGTTAATCCAAAATGCTGCAGCCAGAGGACTGACAGGAACGAGCAAGAGAGATCATATCTCTCCCATATTAGCTTCTCTCCACTGGCTCCCTGTAAAAGTCAGAATAGAATTTAAAATCCTTCTCCTAACATACAAAGCCCTTAATGACAAGGCTCCATCGTATCTTAAAGACCTTGTAGAGCCTTATCATCCTAACAGAGCACTTCGCTCTCAGAGTGCAGGTTTACTTGTGGTTCCTAGAGTCCACAGAAGCAGAATGGGAGGCAGAGCCTTTAGCTATCAAGCTCCTCTCCTATGGAACCAACTCCCAGTCTCAGTTCAGGAGGCAGACACCCTCTCTACCTTTAAGATTAGACTTAAGACGTTCCTTTTTGATAAAGCTTATAGTTAGAACTGGATCAGGTGACCCTGAGCCTTCCCTTAGTTACGCTGCTATAGGCTTAGGATGCTAGGGGGGCCTATGATGCTCTGAGTTTCTCCCCTCTCCCTATGCTTCTATATGCCACCATTACATGTATTTCAATCTTTTATTTTTAAGAGTTGTAAAAAAACCCTCCAAAAACCTGTTTTGTTTGTCATTGTGAAGTGTTGTGCGTAAATTGATGAGAAAAAATATTTTTAATCCATTAAAAGTCTGAATGAACAAAATGTTTTCTGAACCCATACACAGCATGCTTATATACTGATGTAGCAGAAAAAAAAGACATTTTAAATCCTCACCTACAGGTCCTTGCTGCTTATGTAGAGGTAATCTGAACTGTTCTTACCAGAGTTGAAGTCCTCAGTGTGTAGAGCCCAGTAAGCCACACTACATCAATGAACAGTTTCTTTCTCACTACCTGGATATATGGCTGCCAGGGACGTCACCCACTCAGGTCTACCCACACACTTGTTTTCGGTTTTAGTGAAGTGCTTCCCATGTATAACAGTACACAGAGGTAGTGCCTAAGATATGGCACTGCATTTTGTCACTTTGCCTGGAACACAGTGACACTGCTTTGTATGAGGTGTCTGTATGTTTCATTTATTTACAGGCATCTTGTACTACGGACACAATTCAAATGTAACACACTGATAGCCCAACTACATATGAAAATACTGTATATCTGGACAATGATGCAAGAGCACAAAGTTTACAAAAGTAATGATCTCCCTTGAAGTGCTGGAAGATCCTCTTAGACAAGCATCTAAAAAAACTAAACCATGGAAAAAAATAATCATACAGTCAGTAATGTAAAATGTCCTGTCTTTTTTTTTTAATTTGTGAAGCATCTGGTGTCTCAGAGAGGTGTGGTTGGTGTGGAGGGGGTGGTGGGGACAGTCACTGGGTGCAGCCCAAGATCCAAGGATGGAGTTTCCTCTGCTGGTGGAGGGCTCTTCTTCTGTGCCTCCAATTTCTCCATCAGCTGGGTGTAGAGCTCCTTCACTGGCTCGCTGCACTGTGGTCACCAGGCACAGCGTTAAACAGCGTTAGTACACTCCAAACTCCAAACACTGACATTTATGACAAGTGATTTATCTCATGCTGTGTTTTAAAGCTGCAATGTGAAGCTTATTGAAATAACATTAGTCTGTTGGTTTGTCCCTCTGGTGGACAAACTATGCAATAGCAACACTGGCAATGAAACAGCTCAACTATCTATGTTTGACTTGACATGACTTTAACTTCTTGTTGCTTACTTATCTATAATTAGCTTGTCTGATAAAACTGCCCCACCAGGGTATCAGATGGGATCTACTTATTTAATATTATGATTAATGTTACAAGGCGAATACAGACAGGTGAGAGGTTAAAGGAGAAATCTGGATAAATAAGTGCTCTGTTCCAGGATAACAGTGGCCCCATCCAGATGGCATGAGGGCTCACTGAATGGTTTGAATTAGGATGAAAATGGTGGGAATCATAAGCTATGGCCTTCACAGTCACTAGATCTCAACCTAGGTGAGCACCTATCATCAAAACGCAACATGGGGGAATATTTTTCTGGAAGAAAGGTGTTCATCCTTCCAGTACAGTTCAGATACTTGGAGAGTCAATGCCAGGGGGCACTACAGCTGTTCTTGTGGCACACGGTGGCCCAACACCTTACTAAGACATTTACTTATAGTAATTGGTTAGTTCTTTGTCACCCATTTGTAGTGGATTAAGGTTGTGTACAATGTGCTATGAGCGCATGACTGGACTGAATAGCAACAACACTGTCCAGAAATGCATTCATATGAATAAACTTGGCAACGTGGTCGTGATGCTCCCCTCCACCTTTGATGCTGATGAGGAGCTTCACAGTTGTGTGCACTCCAGTAGATGACCCCCTCGAATAAAGCCCAAGTCAGACAGGATATTGCCCTCCTCCAGTGTCACAAAAGTTGTTCTGAATGTCAACGTCAACTAAATTGAAAGTCATTTTAAAGGAGCTGGTGAAAAAACCCTTCCCTGCTGGAGAGCTTAGTATGATTAGTATTAGTATTATTTAACAGTTATTAATACCGACAGCTTTAAACTACTTTAACTTGCTTTGTCTTTCAGTGAATGAGTTAACGAGTGATCTATCAGGCTGGGAAAATCCTTTTCTACTTCCTCAGCTGCCACACAGAGCTAATCAGTTACAGGAAATACAACTCGATGTATGAAAGCTCAAAGACACTTGTAAAGTGTCTCTCTGGAAGAGACATAAATGACAGCAGTGAGTCTTCAGTAGGTGACTGGAGCTGCAACTCTGAATGAAATCAGGGGTGAAAAATCACAAATATATGATGATTTAAATCACTGATCAGCAAAGGTAATATTGAAATCACCCCACCCCCGAAAGGGAAATAAATTCTAGTCGAATAGGGATTAGCACTTTATATGTGGTTGATACAGATTGTGTATTTTATAGTGCACCGGTTTCTGATGTGATGAGACACAAGTTCTCAGCTTCTGGTGAACTACAGGATGGGGAGACCTCTTCCTGGTTTATCCAAACACTTCATCTACTGTCCATTTAAAAGCTGAATGCAGAAAAGAAGCCCACCTGCTTTGGAGGTTCCAGAGTTTTCATCAACGTTTCCATGTACGAGGGCAGCACTTTGTGGTGCAGATGCAGCAACATCCGCAGGGTGTGTCTGTGGACGTTCTCTTTACTGGAAAATATTCAGGCAGAAACCAGAACTGTCAGGAGACATGGCAGAGATGTTTGAATTCAGTGTAGCAGGAATAGGAGTGATGTTTGCAGATTGACCACTTTGTGTTTTAGCTAATAAACACATTCTGTGTATCTTCAGGTCACACTGACTATGGACATTTATTACAAAATCAGCCAGAATCAAGCCACCTGGAAAAAGAAGTAAGGAGGAAACCATCAAAGACAACTGAGCAAAACTCTTCTGATCCAAACTCTTCAGAGAGCAGGGTGAGATGTCCAGTCAGCAGGTGCAGGAAGATGTCCCCGAACGCCATGTCATTGTAGGTCTCCACTGTGGGGAACAGCAGAGGACAAACACTGCTGGATTATTTTATTACTGATCCTGGAGGCCTGGGCAGAAATTAAACTTACCCTAGGAACAAGTGTTAATTTCATCTGAGAAAACTATGAAGATAAATATGTGTGAAAGACCCTTTTCCATGATGAAAACAAGAATAAAACTAGAGTTACTGCTTCACAGTTGTATGACTCTGCTAACAAGTCAAATTCACAGGAAAGCGACAGACATGAGGATACAGTGACCCCTGACCACTAAAATCAAGTAAAAGACCATCTAGAGGTGTTGTCTCCCTACTGTACTAGCCTCCCCAAAATGATTCTCGATTCATAAAAACAAAGAAGGGCACTTGTGTGTCAAACCACTGATTCCTGTCTACTTCCCTAAATGCCAGTTCCTTTCTCTATTAGTTGCACAATGAATGAAATGTCACTTTTTAAATGATGTGTTTTCAACAAAACACATATCAATAGTGTCACTGGGAACCTGGAGCAAACAACAAACTACAAAAAAAGAAGCCAAAAATGACACATCAGAATTGTCTAGTCAAAAAGATGAAATGCCAGACTCCACTTTGTTTCTGCATTTAGGACTGTGACCTTTATGCTCTGGTTTCACATAAGGTTTCACATACAGTATTTTAGGACTTCTCACATCTCCCACTATTCAGAGGAAGAGCACTCACCCAGTGTAGGCAGTAGCCTCTGTAAGGCGTTCTTGTTCCTCAGTTTGGCGATGTGAAGGACATAGTAGAGACCCATTTCACAGGCCACTCTGTTCTCCTGCAGGTACCTGAGGAGGAGCAACCGCAACATAACAACACAATGAAAGCTCACCAGTTCCAACCAGAACCCCACCAAAACTAGAGAAACACATCAAGCAAGCAGTTAAAACACACGGTCAACCCTGGACATGGCAATTCTTTTTAAAGTGTGTGTAGTTTTTATTTGCTGGCCAGATATACAGCACATATATATTTAAATGTAACTGGTGTTTACCTCACTGTCTGTTAGTGAGGTTTGGACCATAGTTTTCCCTTCTCCAAAGTGTTGATGTAGGCTCCTGTGTGTGCTTTTCGTTTTAAACACTAAGCACTTCCTAAGTGAGAGTCAACACGTGCCTGGCATAGACATGAGCATGAGCTTCCTGTGCTGCACACGCTGTGCTTTCAGTGTAGACATAGCCAGTTTTATGCTTTAGTCCGTGGTGCTACGCCAGCCACCACCTTTTGTTAATGCAGCGTTATTAAGTTGAAAACAGGGATATGTAAACTGGATGGGTTACACAGACTGTGTTCACATAGATCTAAGGATGCTGTGCAGAACCCAGTTATTCTCTTATTCATATCAATAATTTAAACTAATAAACTTAATATTCTGGAATATTAAGAAGTTGGAATATCAAGAAATTACTGAAAAATACAGTGTGTCAGATTAACTTCCGTTTCTGTATGACAGCTATTTAATGAACATTTACTATAAGTAAAGATACAGTAAGTATCAGATCAGAATTGGTACTGGCAGATACTTATTAATAAGGAACTGTATCGTTATTGGGGCCAAAAAAACTGGATTGGGACATTCCTACTTGGTAACACAGCTCTCAGCTCCTGACACAGGGAATGCCTGCCAGTGTCTCTCCCTGCAGTGTTTTACCTGTTGAAGGCATCTGGTAGGGTGGTGGGGTATGACAGCGAGCTCTTCTCCTCGCTGGGAAGCTTCTGTTCCACAATGAAGGTGTGATCATCAACAACCACTGACATCATGGAAGGCAGGAAGCGGGTCACTACCTCCTGATCCTAAAGTCATTTTATGACAATAATGTAAAACAATCATCTTCACTGAGCCATTAATAACCAGAAGAAGGTGAAAACTGACTCAACCATTTAAATACAGATTGTATTTCTTAAGCAGTAGGTATAAAACTCAGGTGACACTCACCTGACGAGGCTCTTTAAAGACCTGGCTGTCGATCATGTCCCACGCCCCTTGACCCAATGACAGCATCCTCAGCAGCAGCATCAGGTCTGGACTGTCCTGCTCACACACACACACACACACACAGACACACACACACACACAATGACATGAAATTTTGATGACACAGTGGAGTGTCTGGGGAACTCTACAATGAAAACACTTTTAATGAATGTGGGAAAGCTCAGTGCCTTCTAGAATTCAAAGCAGCTTTCATTTGACACAAAAATAATGCACTAACACAATACAGTCTGTTGGGCACACTGAAATGGCAATGGCAAAGTAAATAGTCACATTAAAGAATGTCTAATAAGTCATTCAAACTGTAAACATGGACTTCTTTAATGAAAATCAATGATGAAATATGATAACTGTGTTTGGACTAGACTGGTGGGTGGGGCTGAAGTCAGCCACGAACATCTTTCTGTTCTGCTGCAGAAACAGACTCAACTCTATGCTAGTTTACCAACTGCAACTGGTAGTTTATAATTTTATTATTTACAGTTAATGCTACATTAAAATCAAAACCAAAGTTGCTGTTTATTATGTCGATCTCAATTTAAAAACTTCACACTAATGCTAGTCTTTTATTTCTGTTAGCTAATGTTGCCGGATGTCAACTCTTCAGTGCCTACTGGTGTTCAAACTAATTAACTGATCAAACAATTTTTGGTCCAAAATGTTTTATCTGCACTTTCCACATTGGTTAACCATTTGCTGGTTCTACCTTCCCAAATGAATGGATTTCTGTTTTAATCTATGTAAGACTATCACACAAAAGGAGGAACCAGAAGGATTAATGTCAGCTCTGAGAAAGCCTAATGAGCAGTTTCACTTTTTTTTTTATTTTTACATATTACAGAATAAAGAATTATTAAATGCAAAGCATTAGTCTTCTTATAACTAAGTAATTCTATTATTTAAAGTCATCATTCAGCCCAAATGGCACAATAAACAATGAATCAAGTGATATACAATGGCTGAACCAGTGCAGGCAATAGTGGGTAGGAGATTAAAGATGACTACAGCCTAGTTTTCATTATCCACAACTGTGGGGCGCAACAGTTAAATGTACCCGGTGCAGTTTTTTTGTAAATAAACACATACAGTATCGTTGTACACAATCTCAGTGGTCAAACAAAGCCATTTATTTTTTTAAGGCTAAGAAGCTGCATTGTTTACATCTGTGTTTGTTTGCTTGGAGTCTTCTTCCTTTTATTTGCTGGCTACACTGCTTGTCAAGTTTGGTGCCACATAACCACCATCTCCATCAGTACAATGCCATGATACCATAGGCATGACTGTCTGCATTGTCATGCATACTGTGCTCACCCGAGGTAAGGCATCCTGACTTAGCAGCTCTTGCAGATTCTTTATGATACTCAGGACCAGGGTGTTGCAGGCAAAAGGATCACACAGGATCATGGACAGGTCCCTAAAATACACACAAATGTATTTGTCAGAGATCAGAGATGATGAGCTCTGTTCATATACTGTACCATCCCCTCGTGTTACCCGAGGACTTGCTCCTGCCCTTTCTTCACTCCATCCAGGAAACCTTGCAGCTCTCTGGCTCGCTTGCCATCCACAAACTTCTCACGGATGCAGGCGTCCAAACACCAAGTGAACTGCCACAGCACATGACATAAACACACAAGAGAAAACATGTAACACAAAGCTAAAACACAGGAAATACAGTGTTTGGGACTTTTCAGTGGTATGATACTGTAGGTATGGTGATCCTCCCATCATGGTTTGTGTTCTTACCTTATGGCAGGGGTCTACAGAGCAGATCTCACTGATGTCCAAGTCGTGAAGAGACATCAGCAGCTCGGCTCTTAGTGTGCAGTAGTGAACATTTCGTGTTCGCAGGAAGAGGGTGCGTAAAAACTGTAGCACCATGTCGTACAACTTCACGTTCTTTCCAATCATCTGGGTCAGCTTCAGGACCACCTACAGTGTACAGACAACTGAACAGTGAACAGCAGCTCGGCCCACTGGAAATCATTTACTCGGTATGAAATTTCTTAGAAATCAAATGACTGTGACTTACCTCGCCTTGGCGCCGTGCTTTGGGAGAAGGGCTGAAAAAATTGTGAAGGATGGAGAGGTCGCTGCTGAACAGAGCTGCTTCCTTTTCCACAATGTACTGCTTTAGGAGGGGTGAAACTTCATCTCCAAACAGAGCCTGGTTGTCTTGCCAGATCTGCCTTTTCACCTCCACAGCACAAACCTTGTACAGTTCCTTGTCAGCCATGACCATCTTCAGTTTCTTCTCTGGCACCTGCATGACAGAACATATACGGTGAGTTCTTCAACATCTTTTGCACAAGGAATTTGAAGATTTTGATTAGCTTGGCTAGACTTGCTCTCTCAGAGCTCAGAGGAGAGAGCTGAGCTGTACTTTGGTACACCCGTGTCATGCACTACAATATGTAGTTACATCCATAAAACCTGCTTAAAACTGTACTGTGTCAAAGGAAGCCCTATGTTAACAGTGTCCAGAAGTGCAGTCGACTGATCTGGGCTCAGAGGTGTCTGGGATGGAGCATCACACAGTGGAAACCTGTACTGTGGTCAGACCAATCAGTATTTCAGGTCTTTTTGTGGAAGGAATGGACGCCATGTGCTCCGGACCAAAGACAAAAAGGACCATGCAGAGTGGTACATCCCAACTTTTTCTGGTTTGGGGTTATAAAATGAGGACTTCACTTTGTATTCCGCTTATACAATAGTAGTTTAATAAAACGCTCATACAGTCTCTGTTACCGGCTGATTTTGTTGCAAGGAGCATTGTGATCCTTAACTTGCATGTGTTGCTCAGTTCTGTGTGTGTGAGGAGCACAGCCCTTTTTCATCTAAACAGACACAGAAACAGGGCGGTTCTTGTCACTTTTTTCTCTCTAGACATTCACTTCTGGTTGGTGAGTGACCATGGGAGCAGTACTGTTGCCACTTAAGCATATATACTGTACAGTCATCTATACTATACTATATCATGTTTAACTGTGTGTAACCAACTGTTAAAAAAAACACACCTACACATAAAGCTGATTTTATGGCCATCAGTGAATAACTGTGTAATACTGTCACTATGTGAAGACTGACCCAACAGTGGATAAAGAACTGGACTCTTTGTGGTAAGATAAAACCCTTTGTGAATGCTGACACTGCTCACATTAACAGGAAAACACCCGGCCCTCGTTCAACCCGGGGCAGAAGGAGGGTCATTAGAAAAGGTCAGCTTACACTCATTGAACTATTCAAATAAACCAGTGATGGACATGTGACCTGCATCCTGGTGTCGGTGTGAATGTGGTGTTACATTCTGGGACAGTGCACTTGAATGCACTTAATAAATGCAGACTGTGTGGTCAGCACATCTGGATATAGCACTATTGCGATATTCTGTCCCAGAAATAGCCATAAAAACACTTACCTTGGGGAGATGCTTCAGCACCTGCATTACCACCGGCTGAATGGACGGCATTTTGACAAGTGGGAAGCTCTTCTCCAACAGCTCTTCAAGCTTCCCATATCTGTGAAGTAGATGGAAGAAAACAAAGCATAACAACATCCAAGCTGGATCCTTCAAAAGATCTTACTCAATGTCACAAACAAGCGATGACAGTGCACCTGTCCTCTTCCTTTCCCTCTGCAATGAGAGCAACTCGCTCCATCAGCTTTTCTCGAAGCTCGTCAAAGACAGACTGATGGAACTCCAGTCGAGGCGTTCCATGGAGGTCGAGGAAAGGAAGAGCAGACTGGAGAGTCGGCAGCAGGATGCCATTTTCCATCTGCAGTCATGTAATGCATCAAAGACACATCAGGGATTAGTTCAACCTGTCAATCTACAGCTGGTCTAGTCAGCAGTCAGCTGCATAAATGTTCCCATGCTTATTTACAATGGCTGATGTCTGACATTTAACACACCAGTGACATTTTTTAGAATATTCCCAAATAAACAGTCCTCCAAGCATCACTCTATTGAAGAACTGCATCTTATTTGATTGACGTTACAAATGAACCTAGTTTACATTGTAAAATTTAAGATTAAAATCCAGTAAAATGCGTGTAGGCTACTGGCTTGCATGAACTGGATCTCTGCCTAAACACACAGTATTTTAAATAGCCGATGTTGAACTGAGACTGTTTCCATTTGGAGAAAGGACAGAGCCTACCAAGATAAATGTCAGCGGAACTTTTACACAGCATAAAATGTGGAGATTAAATATAAAGTGAGAGACGTAATCTTGTGTTCAGATGTGTTATGATCATTGTATTTGAATTTTTTTAAATATTCTGCACAGCAATCAGTGAAATTTCAACCAAAAAGTTGCATAGTACCCCACTTTGTCACATCGGTTTCAAAATTAGCACTATTAATCAGTCATGATGGCTGACATACTGTAATACTGCCGTGATGGCTTACATATACATGGTAAATTAATGTTAGTGGGCTATAAATTTCCATAGCTGTACATAATGACATCTGCTCTGTTCTCCCTGTGCCTGCGTGGGTTCTCTCTGGGTACTCCAGCTTCCTCCCACAGTCCAAACACATGCAGCTTAGGTTGACTGGTGACTCTAAATTGCCCCTAGGAGTGAGTGTGTGTATGTGTGGTTGTCCATCTCTAAGTGTCAGCCCTGTGACAGACTGGCGACCTGTCCAGGGTGTACCACGCCTCTCGCCCAATGTAAGCTGGGATTGGCTCGGGCCTCCCTGCAGCATAAATAATGTATGGATGGAACATCATGGATCGTGCCCCCTACAACCCCATCCAGACCAAACTAACTCTGGATCAAATACCACTATACTTAGACTTAGTCAAACCTGGTCTTCAATAACAAGAGACTCCAGAAACTGACCAGATAATCCCAGAAACACTTAACTTGCAGACAATACAGGGCACTGAGAGGTTAAATACCCTGTTCATCACCTGGCTAATACATCCCTTCAATGAAGATGATGGTGGCAGCATCATGCTATAGGGGACTCGAGGTGTGTTTGCCACAGGAATGATGACAGAATGACATTCACAAAAGCCGACATACATATTCATGAAACACACAGTTGTATGCATAGGTCTGGCTAACCTCTGGACAAATTACATGTTGTACTGATTAGTTAAAAGAAGTGAATAACACGAAAGTAGCAAACTGTCATTAAAACTGAGCTTTTCATCAAATGCTAATGCTTAAAAAACTAAGCAATAGACTGAGGATCTGAAATGAAGCGATCACAATCAGCCCAGGTGTGTCTGGAGGGAAAAGCAGCAGCATTAGGTGAACAGAACATCTCCAACAGTTTAGCAAAAGGGTGGAAATATCCTGCTATGGAGCTGTGTGACAGCCAGTGACTTCATCCACAGTGAAATACTTGGAGAAACACAAGCTGAAGCCGGGGTTGGGTTTGGGTACTCTGAAACGTACCCTAATACTACCCAACATTCAAATAGCAGACGGCATTACTCTGTTATAATGACACTGGCATATATTCCATGTCCTCTTGTCTCCTCTCCTTGTCTGCACGAGACGCTGTACGTCGGTCTCGCGCACCTGCGCAGGAGGGGCAGCAATTTGTAAGACATTTAATTGTGGGCTGACCAAAGTTAGCTCCCAAAATCACAATTTTCAATATTCTTCCATTTCAGCAACTCAATATGCAAACTACGGAACACGTGTCGCATATTTTATCTACATTTTATTTTAGTCTTTCACTGCAACAGTGCCAAAAGTAGCTAACCTTACTTAAAACAGGCAGCTTACAAACCATACTGCACCTGTTAGATGACACTAACACTAGTTAATTTACATCATTTGTGTCACCTAGGCGCAATAGGCTGGCATTCAAATGTCGGCTTATACAAACCCCTAGCGGAACTGTATCCGCACACGAACTGCGTGATCTCAGCACGGACGTATCCAGTCGACGCACTTTCCGATTTCTTTTTCGCGGGGATTTATTTTGCTGATCGCCACCGAAGTATAAGTAGAATTAATTTATACCTGTCTAAGAATCTGCCTGTGAAATTTCATCCAAATACATTAATATTCACATGTCTAATTACTAATATTATTAAAAGCGCAATAAGAATGCTAAAGGCGCCCTCTCTCCACCTGTAAAATATAGGATCTTATTGTGAAGGACGGAAGCGAAAGTGTTTTTAGCATTACTGTTCACTTGGCTGATACAGGCACAAGGTAATACCCATGGATATATTAAGAAAACGCAATAAAACACAGTACAAACCAGACGCGCTTTGCGTGTACAGCACAGAGATAAGAGGTCCGTGAAGGGACAATATCAGCTCACTGCTGAATCTCCGGCGTTAACACTCTTTTGTCACCTCTAGCTAAAGCAAATCTAAAATAAATGAGTAACATAATATATGGCTAGAAATGGAAGAAGCTATACTAAAATTATATACCATTATATTGATCAAAAAACGTTACACGCTCTTTTATATTTGCAGTTAGAACCTTTAACAGGATGTTAACTAAAATATGTCAGTGAGAGGACACAATTATATTTACCTGAAACTGATCAATGGCTTTCAGAGGCTCTGTGCAGTTGGTGAGAGTTTCCTTAAGATCCTCGCCGTTGGATATCCCGAGCTCAGGCAGCCCCGCAAACATTTTCGTTTCGGTTTAATCATTAATCTACTTGAACTAAGTATGAATAAAGTATTCTAACATGTGATTTTGCAAAGCAAATGTTTTCGTTTGCTACAGCACACACAAACACATCATCCTTTTCGCTGTCAAAGCAAAACTTCCTGTGTTGTAGCTCTGTAAACAGTCCGTTGGAGGTTTGAATATAAAAGAAGTGTCCACCCATTACAGAAATATTTAATCATTGTCTGGTGTCTTCAAGTGACTTTAGGCACATGAAAACTGTGTAGGCTAGCTAATGCTCTGATCAATAAGCCAAGGAACAAAAATACAGACATAGGTAGCCAACAGAATCTCAAGAACCTATTGTCAAACCTAGCCCCAGTGAACTTTTGTTATTTAATCTATGGTTCAGAAGCTGTAGCAAGTTTTGTGTCTTCATGTTGCCTCGGGTTTTGTCTGAAGCACAGACAGCATGAGCTGTTTCTGTCGCAACACCTAATATGGGGTTTGTAATGGGTGTATTACACAATAAATGTGGAACATTTAAAAAATGCAGTTTATTGTTTAGTTTCATTTTATACACATTGATGTGAGTTTCCACAAGCAAGCAGAAAGTGTATGTGTTAGCAAAGAAATTGTGTAGAACATATTTTGTTATTTCACTTACACATACACACAACAAAAAAAATAATCACAATGTCCCAGTCTCAGTCTGGTTATAATAACTTCATCCTTTCTGTCAGACCTCGCATTCATTATTTTCAATTTACAGTTTTTCTCAAATGCTAAAACACAAAAGCCAATCCTCTAAACCAAATGACCAGTTGTCTAAACACATTTACTAAATCTAGCCATCATTTTCCAATATCATAAACACATTTCACATGAAGACACAATTCACAAAACACAATCCTCCGTTCTCATAAATCTTAACACATTTTTCTTTGCTAAAACACAAGTTGCAAAAGAACTCTGCTCATATTCTCAAATGAAAGCTCATGTGGTGCAAAATGCTTGCCACAGTCAGCAATATTTGAACACAATGAACACACCTGGCGTCATTCATTACACACAACGACTCCAAATTGAAGACACTTGTTGCTAATGCTGTGACCACATGTACAAAAGCAAGTTCAGAGTGCACAGTTTGCTGAAGATTCCAAACAAACACAATGGATGAAGGCAGAATCAGGGGAAGAGGAATTCGAGTCAGAGGAGGGAGAAGAGCTGGCCATGGAAGAAGAGGAGCAGGCCAACGAGGAAGAGGAGTTCAAATCAGAGGAGGAAGAGGAGCAGGCCAACAAGGGAGAGGAGAAGGTCCAGGAGGGAGAGCAAGACAACCTCGCACCATCATTACGGACGAGATGCGAGCAACAGTCATTGACCATGTCATTGTCCATGGCATGACAATGGCTGAAGCAGGACTACGAGTCCGTCCAAACCTGAGTAGGTTCACCGTGGCCACCATTATCAGGGCATTCAGACAACA